ACTCCTGCAGGCGACCTGTGCTACTTTGGGCCTAACTCCTTCTGTCCCATCTCCAGGGGAGTCTGGAACTTAGCCGCAAGAGAAGCCTTCTCTCCATTGGCTTCCAGCACCAGCTACGTGATAGCTGGTTTAGGCGCATTCTGGCAATTTTAACCTTGGCTGAGGGTTCAGCAAAGTATCTGGGTGCTTTTCCTGTAATGTAGAATTTCTAAGCAATACTGAAAAAATGAGCCACAGGATCAAGTGGAGCTGCTACAGCTCTGAAGGTGTGCTGCTCAAATTTGCTCAGCTGGCCACAATCTTTAGCATGCCATTAAATTATAAGTTCACCTTTAGTAACAAGTTACATGTTATTCAGGGTGAAAGATGTAAAACTTTACTAAACCACCTGCCCGCACCCAACCAAATCCCCCATTGTGACAGCAGGTGGGGGATCCTCTCCCCACACCTGCTATCACAGTTCAAAAACAGCATGTGTGGGGCTCCATGGCCTCTTAGGGTTCTGTGAATTAATGAAGTGCAAGTCCCATCTTCCTCCGAGGCAGAAAGCTTGTAATACTAGTGCTGGTGAGCACTCTTGTGGTTTATATTCCTGGACTTCAGTAACTGACTGTCCATATAGGAGGTACAGGCAAACAAATTTACAAACAATCTGCACAAGCCTGTCATGGCACCTGTGATCTGCTAATCGTGGGTGCAATGCTCTGCAGGTTCCTAAAAAAATAAATAAATGTTTTTACCTGCAAAAAATGTGTGCATTTATTATTTTTTTTTTATGTGAACCTATCCTTCAATTGCTATTGTGGCAGATTGAATTAGACCCCTTCCCTCATAACTTAATATAGAGTAAACATATCTAGTGTATTCTATGGTTTGGTGGAATATAAACCGTCCATTAATTTTGACTAAATTCAATAAATGTTTAAAGTGCATTATCCATAGCATCCAATCAGAATCCATCTTGATCTTGTCTGACATCAGTAGAGTAGTTTGGTAGAATGTGCATTTATATATATATATATATATATATATATATATATATATATATACACACACACACACATCAATTTCCACTTTAAGACTATTTTAGAAATAGAAATAGGCTTTTTTTTTCAAAGAAATTAAAATGTTTGTGCTATTTTACATATAAAATCCTTTCATATTAAACATTGCAAACTATGAGATTAATTCAAATCTTGACATTTATACCCAACAAAATAAAAACTAATAATAATCACAATGAACAGACGACCTCCCACTTCTAATGGCCTCTTTTATCATTGCTGTTTATTCTTGCTGCTGTCTGCTGTTGCCACCACCTCCCAGCATTGGGAATTAATGTATACAACATCTCCTAATTCTCTCTCATTATGTTCCTCTGTTTTCTTAGGAACAGCCAAATTCATCAAAGTTCATTTTAATGAATGTGAATCACTTCACGCAGAGAGCAGCTCAGGGTAGAAGAAAAAATCCAGACAATGCAGGGCAGTGTTACAAGATAATAGAACAGTAAAGCTGTTTCTCTTGCTAATAATAACCCAATAAATTCTGATTGATGTCAAATTTCTGTTCCACAAAATTACAGGTAATGATAACCATTATTATATTCTGCCATTACTGGTACCTTAGGCATTGTTTATATAATACTTCATTCAGCATGAGCTTTAACTGCTACTGTGTTGTTTGTATAGCATTTGAATTGTCATTCTCAGGGATTTTAGCAAAGTTTTGAATATTAATAATATTAATTCATAGCTAGATAGGTATGCTCTAAAATGTCATTAATAGTAAATTGTGTATGTAATTAACTGCTTCCCAACCTCCCTATAGCAGATATACTGCTACACGGGTGCACGGGTGCGCAAAATCACGTATATATACATGATTTTGCATTTCTGGGAAGGGGCACGCATGAGGCACACATGCGCCTTACCCGCTCCGCCATTCGCGGCTGTCAATCACTGGGTCCAGGCCTGTGATTACTCGCAGGCGCATGGTGATTGCCGAGCATCTCTGATGGTGGGGGGAGAACTGCTTGTAAACAAAACAGTTCCCCTCCCTGTCAGCTCACACACATTGCTTTGGATGACTGTGTACAGCACAGCCATCCAAAGCAGTGTGCTTACAGTGAAGCACACTGATAGGCCCTCTATACACCCAGCACACATTTAACCTTTTCATCGCCCCTCAAGTTAACCCCTTTCCTGCCCAGTGCCATTAGTATAGTGTCAGTGCTTTTTTTTTAGCACTGATCCCTATTGGTGTCACTGGGGATGTTAGTGACACCAAGTCAGTTCCCCCGCCGCAGTACCACTATAAGTTGCTGATCGCTGCCATTACTAGTAAAAAATTTAAAAAAATAAATAAAATTTCATTATCTATACCACCATTTGTAAACACTTTAACTTTCACGTAAACCAATTAATTTACACGTATTGGGAATTTATTTAGCAAATACATGTAGCAGAATACATTTTGGCCTAAATTTATGACAAAATTAGAATTGTTTTGATTTTTTTACTGGGCATGTTTAATAGCAAAATGTCAAAAATATTGTTTTTTTTTTATACTTTCACTCAAGTTCTTGCCGATACCGAGTACTGATACAATGCGGTGTGTGATTTGTGTCCATATAAAATTAATGGGCACAAACCGCACTACAAAGAAAAGCATGTAATTTGAACAGGAATGCAGTGCAATTCCTTTCCAATTCACATGCAGTTTGCTCACTGCTCCTGTGTGAAACCAATCAGAAGCCGTCTAGCCCACTGCAAGCAAAGGAGAGAAAACAAACAGTGGGGATTTCAAATCCCCTCCCCGCCGGGAGGTTTCCCATAAAGCTCCTGGGTGAACTCAGGCTATGACAAGCCTGGATTCACACAGAAGCAGTGAGAAAACCACATGTGCTTTGGACAGGAATCACACCGAATTCCTGTTCAAATTACATGCTATTCTTTGCAATGTGATTTTCGCCCATTCATTTTTGTATGGACACAAATTGCACTGCAAAGTATTGGTTTTGGGTATCAGGAACATTTTCACAAGTATGAGTATTCGTAAAAATACTCTGCATCTGCCTGATACCAATACTGGTATCGGTGCATTCCTAATATATATATATATATATATATATATATATATATATATATATATGTAATATATGTAAAGTAGTATCAATATGGAACAATAGAAAGAAAACAGGTGCTAAAGTCCCTAAAAGCTATCTTGCTAATCCCATGGCTATAGTACCAGAAAGAAGGTTTAGGACTAAAACACTTTGCGCAGAGAAAAATGAATGTAGTAATCACCACCACAGTATATACAAAATGATTGTTTAATAGGTAACTCCACTTTTGTAAAGAAAATATAACAAATATTTAAAAAAGTAATATAGCATATACAATAGCTACACAAGTCATATTGTAATTTAATGTTATTAGAATTGCCTTTCCTTTCTGCAGTCACTGTAATATTCAGTACAATTTGAAGCAATATGAAAACCTGCAGGCCTTCTGTACTCAGTTAGTGCACACAACTTCCCCAGAAATGTAATTTCCTGTTTGTCTGATTTGCTCACCAATTTTTTAAGATACAGGTGAAATTTTAGGCATCCTCAGCAATAGAAATTACTATTTTTGGTGAGATACTTCCTATGGGTTAATTACTTTTAAAGGTATTCAGAAACTGTAACTTTTCTCATTAAAACTCTGAAAGTGCATCAGCTGGTTAGACTGAACACAGACACTCCCATTCAGGAGCCAGACTTCCAAAGACTGTTGTGTCCTTTTATGAACCAGCAGTAATAGATCGCTGCTCAGTTCTCCAGCAGTCTCGGAGAACACAGTTCTCCTGTGAATGCCTTTTATGAAGCAGTTCTCCGAACGAAAAGGAGAACGGTCTCCAAATGCTGGAGAACGGTCTACAAATGCTGGAAATGGCTTATTTTACTATAATCTCGAGAGATTACAGTAAAAGATCAGTTTACTAAGCAGAGTGTAAATTATCGCTGCTTAGCTTGCGGTCCCTCCGATTCTCTAGCTCTGGGCTGGAGAATCTGGAGGGAGAACACAAATCTCCAGTGAAGGGCTGAACATGTTCTCCGCTGATCTCCTGAGTGTCATAAACTGTGAATGAGCAGAGAGTAGCTGCGATCCTCTGAATCGCAGCTATTCTCTGTGTCATAAATGGACACCATAGTAGAACATACTGCATTTTCTTAAGAACAGAAACAGATAGGACTCTGCTACACAGTTTATTACATTAATCACCCAGAGAGGATTTTTTTTCTTAACAGATTTTGAGTTCCTCTTTAAGTGCAATCAATAACATACTGTATTTAAATATATAGTATACGTAGTAGCTCATATATGCAAAGTCATGATCAGGGGCGGACTGACCATTTGGAAACTCGGACACTGCCCGAGAGCCCGGGGTCAGTAGGGGGCCCCATGAGATGCCCCTGGTACCTTTTTCATAGGCTTTTTTGAGTTTGGGCAAGGACACAGGGGCCCCATGATCCCCTATTGCCCGGGGGCCCCATGAGTTGTCAGTCCGCCCCTGGTCATTACATCAGCAACAAAGCAAGTATATACATAAATAGAGCAGATTACCCCCCAAAGCACAGGCAGCCCAATTAACCTCCCTAGCGGTATGATTATGTCAATATTTCCGTGCTCAAAGCAGTACATTTTTTTTGCATGGAAATATGTCGTTTTTGTTATTGTAGGGTTGTAATTTTTTAGGAATAATTCACTGAAATTTGTCCGAAACAAGAGTCTAGTAAACATCTCGGGTATGATAAATTTGAAACATGAAATCATAAATTATAATATAATAAATAATCATAAAAATAATAATATAATGATAAATTTAATTCAATAATGTAATCAAACCAAAAACACTGAAATTTTAAGTATAGCGCCAAGTTTGCACATCAGAGAGGTTAGTCGCAAAATCGTTTTCAGTGTCTGATGACGAATTTCCCCACGAATCATTATCACTCAATTCTGCAAGTGGTTCTGATTTACTATCACTGTTCTCTAGCCGGTCTAAAACTGCTTTCGACCTAAAGGGACGCTTTTTGGACGCCATGGACTTTTCTCAGTTTCCAGGCAGAAAGAACAGTAAAAATGCAGGCAGGGCACAGGACAAAGCAGTAGGGACAAAATGTATGTGAAATGTTTTTAAAACAGTAATGTTTTACTATTGGATTTTAGTGTATTTGATGAATGTCACTTTTAAAATGTTTGAATTTCCCCCCGTACGTCCCATACGTTCCGACGCTCTCAGGGACCAGAACCCGGATGCCGGCATCGGCCAGAGGAGATGGCCGGGAATGCTGCAGGGGGGACATCGCAGGAGGACAGGACTAGGTAAGTGGAACAGGGATCCCGGAGCAACACTGCAGGGTAATCCTGAGTGTAGCTCGGAGTTACCGCTTTTGGTACTGAACGTTTACCCTGAGCTACACTCGGGAATACCGCCAGGGAGGTTAAGCAAAGGGGAATGAGGTCTTTTAAAATGGTATACACTTTGTTCAGATCAGACTTGATTTTTTTCTGCCTTCACCCTTCTTATAACACAGACAATGTGACATGACATGGTGCCAGTGACATCACTGCAGTGGAATATGTCACTTCTAGTGAGATGGAATACCAAAGCAAACCAAGGCGTCTGGCAGCAGGGGAAACAGCTGCCAGCCCCAATTGAAGTATGACAAGCGGGGCTCCAGGGACACCAGAAAGGGTAGTGACAAAAGCAAAATAAAGTGTTATATGGAAGGCTGAGTCTTGTAGTATTGCATGTATTATACATCTTGAGTATGCAGTCCAGTTTTGGTCATAATCCTTAAGAAGGATGTTCTTGAGCTGGATTGAGTGCAATGAAGGCAATGAAGTTAATAAGGGGGATGAAAACAATTAAACATATTCTCCCTGAAAAAGAAGCACCACCAAAATAAAGCTCCATTTGTGTGAAAAAAAATTATAGAAATTTAGTTTGGGTACAGCATTGCATGACAGCGCTATTTAGTAATGCGGTGCTGAATAGCAAAACATGGCCTGGTCAGGAAGGGGGTAAATCCTTCTGGAGGGCAAGTGGTTAATCTAAACTCTCCAAAAGGGGGTAAATCCTCCTTCTGGAGGGCAAATGGTTAATCTAAACTCTCCAAAAAAGACAAGTGGCCACACAATGAAGTTGGACAAGCAGCAGTTTAATCATAAACTGCATAGAGGGTTCTTTACTGTTAGAGGGGTAAGGATGTGGAACTCTCTTCCGCAGTTGGTGGTATCAGCAGGGATTGTAGATAAATTCTAAGTTTCTTAGTAAACACAATGTACAGGGATATGGAAAGTGGTAGTGACATTAACACACACAGGAACACACTCAGGTTGAACTGGATGGACCATTGTCTTTTTTCAGCCTAACTATGTAATTGTTACTATGTATGTTGAAGTATGTAGACTTTCTAGGGAGTAAGGAGGCACTCTATACCACTGAAAAAGAAAAATGTAGATTAGAAAATACAGTTTTGATAAGTATCTTTATTATTTTCCTGAAAATAAATAAAACAATAACAAATATGAAGAATAATAAAAAAAAATGTGTATGTCACCAGAAGCAGAAGATACCTTAAACTAATACTGCTATAGAAATAGAGATAGATCACATTCATAATTTATTCAGCATATAGAGCCAATTAACTCCCTCTGAGAGAGTTTATCATGAAAATTAGCTCCTTTCTTGGCCTTAATTTTTCAATCACTATAAATTGTAGCTGGGACTAATTGTGAGCGGGTTTGGCAAAATTTCTAGGTATAGGGGAGGAAAATTCAAATGCGTGTATATTGCTCAGCTGTTTGCTGATTTGAACACACACTTTCTGAGTGGTATGGATAATATAACTCAGGCCAAGTATATTTGCACTTTAAAACATGAGCCCACCTCTGAGGCAGCTGGCTCTCCCGGCGAAACCGGTCAGGATGAATCTTTTTTTTACTCCCCATGACCTCTCAGCATGATGATCTATAAATGCCAAAGGACGACAAGTATACAAATGCCTACTTTATCAGAGTATAATTTTTACAACCTCAACCACTATTACTTTGGAGGGATTTTTGGCCATTGAACTGTGGACTGTTCTTCTTGTCATGTGGCTTATATACCTAGGGGAATACAGCTTCAAGCAAGCATCCCAGACAATCCATAATGTATTAATGTATGAGGGAGTTCCGATGTGCTTATTTAATTAATCCTCCCCTGGACAGAGCCCACACAATAGGTGTCATAGTATTTCATACTGGTTTCCTCCCCTGGATCACATTTTGTCTTGATATTAATTGGGACTCCTGCCTTGTTTAGTCTCTACTGGGACACTGCACATTTACATTAACTCCATGCCAGTGTTATAGGGAGGTTCAGCATAGAAATGAACACAATATAACATGAAATCCTACCCTGGATTACACATTTTCATATTTGCATAGAGACCCCTGTTATCATCTACCAAGCTTTATTCTTTGAATGGCATCAAGACTCCAAAGGTTGATCCATCAAGATATGTCCAAATGGTCAACTGATAACCCCAAATGTTATAACCAGATATGATGACTAGTGGTTGATAATTCTATAAATGTTCACATCCTTCCTATGATATGTGGCATCATAACGCTTTTCAATAAGTGTGTATTTGAAGAATGTTGATGTTTGGGGGATGTTTTAAAATATGTTTTGTATTCAATTTTGTACAATTAAAGGAACAATTTATATGCTCTGACCACTAATGTATTATTCTTAGGCGTGAGATACATAAAAACCCCACATATTCTGGTTAAGTCCATAACTAATCTTGTTTGCATTTTAAGTCAGTCATAGTTATTAGTTTGATTAGGGAATCCCGAATCATGAATATTGAAAACCTTGAGGTTTTTGAATGGTAGATTTATTCATATTTTCACTTTTGAAGTCAAATTTGGGAAAGCCCCACCATATGTTTCTTATGTGTTTACATTCACACAGCATGCCTACTTTTTTTTTTGCTTAAAGCATTTCTTACCTTTTAGATGTTTCTCAGGATAAGGTGTTATGGTCGATTGAACCTTTTTTGAATGTTAAGCTGATCATATGTAGCTGAATGAAAAAAGCTGAACTAATTTCCCCATCCACACATTTGGGGTGGATGTGGGAATCCTCCCCACTGTGTCATTGTATTTTGACAGCAGAGGAGTCAGCTGGAATCCTCCATCAGAATGCACTGATCAGTACTGCAGCCCATTTAATACGATACTGATCAAGGTAAAGGATTCCAGCAAGCCTGTTTATGAGCAGTTGATCAGTAGATAGACTGCTCTCGAACAGAACCAGCCATAGATTAATTTAAATTCAGCCTGTCCCTGCTGAACTGACTGAATTTCAAATCATCTACATATGGCTAGTTTTGGATTAGTTTATCGTGATTTTGGCTGACTGAACCTTTGTAGAATGTTAAGCTGGCCATTCATGGCTGAATGAAAAAAGCTGGACCAATTTCCCCATCCACACATTCGAGGTGGATGTGGGAAGCCTTCCCGCTGTGTCATTGTAAGGACTGGCCATAGATGAATTTAAATTCAGCCTGTCCCTGTTGAACTAATCTAATTTCAAATTATCTACATATGGTTAGTTTTGGATTAGTGTATCGTAAGTCTTCTATTTTTAATATACAATGAAAGAAGTTCAGACCCTAAACCTCTAACCCTTTGCTAGGACAGGGTTAATTATGGCAAACACTGTTGCCCAGCCTCCTCACAAAGACAGAGAACTATTTAGTATTTTCCTTGCTAGAGATTCCAGAATAGGGTATCCAAAAGAGGAAAATTGCACTTTTTTAAAGTTATGATATGTGAATGGCGACATGTAACAAATATAAGGTAAGTGTTATTTCAGTTTGGCTGTAAAAGTTGAAATACACTTTGAGCATATAAATAATGTCAGTTGAACCTGCAATTCTGAACGTTGATATACTGAACTTTTTACCAGTTTTTGGGTAAAAAAAATTATCAGCCTTTTTAACAAAATTATACTGAACACAGTGACCATATGGGTATATGTCATTAGGGGTGGGTAGAAGAGATAACCAATTACCTGTAATGAGTTTTAGAAAGCTAAAACTGAATGCACTAGTTGGTTCTCTTTGTTTCTAGACCTTTTATAAACTAAGATAGGAGGACCCTGAAATGTGTCTGAGATGCATGAATTAGTAGATAGAACCAGCCAATGCTTCTCTAGGATTGAGTAAGCTTTCCTGTAATAATAAGAAAACATAAGTGTAATGGGTAAACATGAAGTACGTAAGTTTTAATTTAATAAGTGTGTGTCTGTTAGCTCTGTCAGTATCTCCTGAGAATTACCTTTTAACCTTCTTGTAAATAAACTTAGGTTTGGCAAATGACGCAGGAGCTAGCTCTAGCACAAAGAGGAGGCTATCAGTTACGTGGATCTGTGTAGCTGCTAGCTTGAGCAGACCAAAATCCTCCAAAGGCAACACAGAAGTAAATACTAAATGAATCAAGCAGCACTCACACTAATTTCTATTATAGTAGCAAAATTTAAACAGTCATGATATGAAACAAACAGTAAATCACTCACATAGCCTGCTAGATACACAGCGGTAAAGAAATTAATCCCCCAAGCTTGCAGTGTTAGTGTAATAAAGCTTGCTTGTGCAAGTAAATAAATATTCCACATAACAGTGTAAAATGAGGGGCAAAAAGGACAGGTGCTGGATATATTGGCAGCGGCCTGGCCCTTGACACTCTACCTCTCTCCAGTCCAGGGGCGGACTGACAACTTATGGGGCCCCTGGGCAATAGGGGATCATGAGGCCCCTGTGTCCCTGCCCAAACTCAAAAAGCCTATGAGAAAGGTATCAGGGGCATCTCATGGGGCCCCCTACTGACCCTGGGCCCTCGGGCAGTGCCCTAGTTTCCAAATAGTCAGTCTGCCCCTGCTCCAGTCCCAAAAAAAAGTCACTGCATGACTGCAAAGACGAATGGGCAAACACAGTACTCCTCTGATGGGGCATCACCTCTAGTCCTATTCTCCCTCCCTCATTTGGCATTAATTCTTCAGTGTCCAGCCCTCAATACCAACAAAAACAACATGGATTATTGTGACACATTAAAAAAAGAAAAACTTAAGAAAAAGGGGGAAGAAAACAGATAGGTAAAGACAAAATATTTTTTTTTTTGGTCCTTAGTGACCTTGAAAGTTTGCTGCTTTATGATATTAAATGCCTTGTCTGATTATTCATGGTGTGCTGATTATTTTTTGGAATAAACTTATGCTTTGGCAGCACCATCTTTGATTTCAACTCAG